CCCAACAATAGATGACTTGTTAAAGAAATTACCAACTATCCACAGGCTGGAATACTACACCAAGATTTAAAAAGAATGAAGGATATATTTATGTCGTGGTTCTCAAATGTAATCCTTAGGTCTGCCGCATCAATATCATCTGGTTACTTATTAGAAATGCAGGTTAACAGGCTCTATTCAGAATCAAATGTACATTCCAGTTTGACACCTCCTGCTGTTTAGAATAGCAATGCCTGCGGCTGTATCAGGGTTATCAGTACAGCCCAGTGGCTCATAGTCACCCTGAAGTACTTTTTATTTTTATTTATTTATTTATTTTAAATATTTATTTTTATTTATTTATTTATACAAGCACTGGGTACAGTCAGAAGCGCGGGAGGGTGAGAGAATTCACCAGAGCCAGAGTGGGGAACAGAACAGGCATAACGACGAAATACACTCCTGAGGGGAGCAGCGGGCGACAGGAGAGGTCTGCGCGCCATGTGGGACCCTCCTCTGGTGGCCGGGGAGCAGCCGGGGATCGAACTGGTGCTGCAGAGGCTGCGGGCAGCTCCACAACCTGGTGCTCAACCGCTGCGCCACCTGGGAGGCCCTGAGGTACTTTTTAAAAGCACCAATCCCTGAGTCCCATTCCCAGTGATTCTGGTATAACTGATCTGTTGCAGGGTCTGGGCATTCCCCCAATTAGAAGTGACTTCAGTGTGAACCACTGACAGCACAAAATTCCCAGAAAGATTAAGAGCAAGAAGTCAGGTGCAGAAGAGTCACATTCCAGAATGTTTCTTGTATAACTGTTTGTGAGGATTAAAAATTGAATAATAGAGAAATAAATTTGGGGTACATATGGGGAATAATTTTCAGTAGTGAAAATGAAGGACCTTGAAATGCAGAGTGGAGGAAAGTTAAAGGATATTGTGATACCATGTATATTAAGTTTAAAAAAAACAAAGCAATTTTATCTGTCTTTTCTGAGTGGATACATATATAGTAAAATTATGAATACAGGCAAAGGAATTATAATAGGCATAATCCGGGATTAGGGAGAAGTACAGAGCCAGTTCCTCTTATATCTGTAATCTTTTATTTCTTTTTTATTTCTTTATTTATACAAGCACTGGGTACAGTCAGAAGTGCGGGAGGGTGAGAGAATTCACCAGAGCCAGAGCGGGGAACAGAGCTGGCAGACTGATGAAATACACTGCTGAGGGGAGCAGAGGGCGCGGCAGGAGAGGTCTGCATGCCATGTGGGACCCTCGCCAGCAGCCAGGGATTGAACTGGTGCGCAGAGGCTGCGGGCAGCTTTGCAGTCCAGTGCTCAACTGCTGCGCCACCGGGGAGGCCCTGTAATCTTTTATTTCTTAATTGGAGAATGAGTACAAGGGTGTTTGTGATATTTTTATCTATTCTTATTTGAATGACAGAATTCATTCAATTAAAAAACAAGCGATATAGGGCCTCCCTGGTGGCTCAGGGGTTAAGTATCAGGGTTATCAAGCTATAGCCAGCCACTGAGGCATGAGTTCGTTCCCTAGCCTGGGAGCTACCCACATGGCGCAGCAGACCTCTCCTGTCTCATTTGCTGCTCCCATCAACAGTGTATTTCAGTCGATCTGGCTGTTCTGCTCCCCACTCTGTCTCTGGTAGATAATCCCACCCCCATACCTCTGGCCTATACCCCAGTTCTTGAATGCATAAATAAGTAAAAATAAATCTTTAAAAAATATAAATAGGGGCCCTCCCTGGTGGCGCAAGGGGTTAAGACACAACCTATGAAGCTGTCCGCAGCCACTGCAGCACAAGTTCAATCCCCAGCCGGCCAGAGAGCAACCCACATAGCACAGCAGACCTCTCCTGGCTTGCCCACTGCTCCCCTCAGCAGTGTACTTTGATCAATCTGCCTGTTCTGTTCCCCACTCTGTCTCTGGTGAGTCCTCTCAATCCCCACACCTCTGGCCTGCACCCCAGCTCTCGTATGCATAAATAAATAACTCTTTGAAAAAAAATTATTAAAAAAATAAAATAGGGCCTCCCTGGTGGCGCAGCGGTTGAACACTGGGTTGCGAAGCTGCCCGCTGCCTCTGCAGCGCCGGTTCGATCCCCGGCTGCTCCCCGGCCACCGGAGGAGGGTCCCACATGGCGCGCTGACCTCTCCTGCCGCCCGCTGCTCCCCTCAGCAGTGTACTTCGGTCCTTCTGCCTGCTCTGCTCCCCGCTCTGGCTCTGGTGAATTCTCTCACCCTCCCGTGCTTCTGACTGTACCCAGTGCTTGTATAAATAAATAAAATAAATCTTTTAAAAAAAATAAAATAATAAAAAAAATAATAAAAAATATAAATAACTAGCAGTGTAACAAGGGTATAGACTGCTTTCATTTGTGTTTAAAGACAAGAGAGATATAGTGCGCATTTACAAGAAAGTCACGATGGTTGTTTCTGGGATGGTAAATGTGGACTTTAGGGGTAACAGGAAGTTTTTCCTTTCTTATTTTTTTGTGTGTGTTCATAGACATGCATGTGACTCAAAAAATTTTTAAATTCTAAAGTGAAGCTCCCCCCCTTAGGAATAGCCTGTTTTTCTTTTCAATATGCAAATACAAGCCAACTGTAAATACTGTAGTTGTAAGTTCTTATCTCCCTCTCCCTAAATGTCAGTGCTTACTAGACACCCTGTTTTGAAAATTTTTTAAAAGATTTATTTATTATACAAGAACTGGGGTACAGGCCAGAGGGATGGACATAAAACACTGCTGAGGGGAGCAGCGGGCAAGTCAGGAGGGGTCTGCCGCGCCATGTGTGTATCTCCCTGGCCAGCCGGGAATTGAACCCATGCTGCAGAGGCTGCAGACAGCTTCATAGTGCTGCGCTCAACCAGCTGCACTACCAGCAAGGCCCCATGTTTTGAAATTTTGAACTGAGTATTTCTCAAGTATCTTTCCATGTTGAAACATAAAGAGAAATTCCCTGGTGGCACAAAAGGGTTTAAGATGTAACACTATGAAGCTATTAGATCCCTGGCCAGGGAGTTACCCACATGGTGAAGCAGACCACTCCTGCCTCCCCGCTGCTCCCCTCAGCAGTGTATTTCAGTCAATCTGCCTATTCTGTTCCCCAATCTGTCTCTGATGAATCCTCTCATCGACACCCCCGACCCCCAGCACCTTTGGCCTGTACTCCAGTTCTTGTATGCATAAATAAATAAATCTTAAAGAAAAAAAAAACAAAGAGCTTTACAGCATTGCACAGCTGTATAATATTATGGGATTATGCCTGGTGAATCTGGGACAGAGAATAGGGCAGTGTGGATAGACGGAGAGAGAAAGGGGGAGAGAAGGGGTGGAGTGATGGGAGCAGACTGGGTGAGGCCTGGTGGGCTGCAGGGAGGGCTTTGGTTGTGACCCCAATGATGTGGGACACCGGGAAGATTCTGGGCGGAGGAGGAATATGTCCCTAAACTCAGGTGCCGTTTGCAGGCGGTGTGGAGGATAAGCTTTGGCGGGGTAGGGGAAGGTTGGGGGGCCACGGCAGTGGGACTGTTTTGGTCCAGGTAGGCAATAATGGGGGTTTGTACAAGTGGGGGAATGAGAAGTCTGAGAGAAATGAGAGAATTCTGGGTAGATTCTGAACCAGTTACGACGTGCTGTCATATCAGATTTGGGGGAGGAAGGATCAGAGAGAGGGGTCAAGGATGCTCCAAAGTTTGGGGTTTTAGCATCTGACAGATCGGTGCTGCCACGAGCTGGTTCTAGAGGACGGTGGGAAAGTTGGGTTTGGTATGCTAATGAACTCGGATGAAATGGGGTGAATGGGAGGCGTCAGCTCATCTTCAGGTGAGTTTCCAGGTGAGTTTCAGTTTCAGGGGCTTCGTCGAGAGAGGTCTAGGGTGCAGCCACGTCGCAGTCCCGAGAGTCGCCGCAAGAGGGCGAGCTCACCCCGTCGCTCTCGCAGCTGGGGCCAGGGTACCGGGTGGGTGGGCACGGGAAGGGCGCATACTGCTGCTTCTCACGCCCAGCGACCTGCAGTTCCTCACAAGGGTGCGAGATGAAGACCGCAGAGGCTCCAGGGCTCGGCCGGACCCCCAAGGCGCCTCCGCAGCCCCACAGCCTCGGATACGGCTCCAACTCCCTTAATTTGCTTTTAACACTTCACCCCCACCAATTTGTTCTCACAGTTTCCCATGCCACCTCTGGTCTTTGTAAAAATGTCACCTCCTCTGGGAGGTCTTCCATGACCCTGAGAGCAGACACTCCTGCCCCTACTTCTCTAAGGCACACGCCATTTCAGTATCTTCTTAAACTCAAGCCTCTGAAATAATCTTGTATTGTCTATTTTCTGAATTAATGTAAAATCTGTGGCAGTAAGGACCCACTTTCTGTCCTAATCCCCTGTTATCCAGAGGGCTCAGATTTCTACCTGGCTTCTAATAGGTGCTAAAGGAAAAACAAAAAACCAAAAAAACTCCAGCAACTATGTTAATCACAGCTTGTTCATGGTGCTACTATGCATCAGCCTTCATTTTAAGCTGTTTACATAAATTAGTCCCCCATAGGGACTGTCATTAGCCCCATCTAACAGAAGAGGAAGCTGAAATCCAGAGTGTCCAAGGGACTAAATCAGGTTGCACAGCTAGTAAGTTGCAATGCTGGGATGGAACCCAGAGACTCTGAGGGCAAATATGATTTTGCTAAATGGATGACTGGGTCCATCCCAAGGGGCCACTTGAGGCCTCCAAATATTGTGCTTCTCAGTCCCTGCCTCTAGATGTACCTTTCCAGGTCCTCTCAGCCCACACACCCATAGGCCCCACCCCCAGGCCCCCAGCCAGGTTGGGGGAGGGGTGGGAACCAGAGGGTGTGGGATTGCAGAGTCCCTTCCCAGGCTGCCCAGGTTGGGGCAAGCCCTTAAAAGTAGATCTGGAGGGCCCAGATTCCACCCACCAGACAGCAGGGTCTACTACTTACGACCCTGAGCCCAACAGCAGACAGACAGGCAGATAGACAGACAGATGCTCCTTAGTCAGCTGATTCCTCTTCTGAGCCTGCTCAGCGGAACTTGGCTGTCCACAGGCTGGGGGAGGCCTGGACCCTGGGATTCCCCACTACAGTCCTGGGCTGTGGCCAATCAGACCTCCCCTGTGCCAATATCTGCCCTTAGCAGCTGGCAAGTCTTCTTGAACCTGCAGAAAAGCGCACAATGGGAGGCCCGCAGACTCCAGCACAGGCAAGAGGTGACTGCCCCCGTGTCTCTGCCACTAGACCCAGAGGAAATGACCCAGGAGATATGCAAGGCTGTGCCCTTCACTCAGGTGAGGGTAGGTGGGGAAGGGGGGGAGAGGACTGGGTTTCCGTGCTGGCAGAGCACAGGCTATGGCACTGGACAGGTTTGGGTGCAAACTCTGCATTGTCCCCAAGATGTTCTTGATTCTCTTGTTTTCTCCTTTGTAAAATGGAGCATAAGCCTCTCCACCTGGGCTGATGCTGTTGTGTCTTCATCCTGGTCTCCCAGCTTCTGCTATCCATACTCCTTCCCACACCCCTCCCTTCTTTCCCCACTCCCCAGTCCGTTTTTCCAACTAGTGGCCAGGGGATGCTTGTGAGCACCTGACTCAGGTCCCTCCATAGCTCCCACCTCACTCTAAGCAAAAACCCAAATATTTTCAACAGTCCAGTCCATAGGCTCTTCATGTTCTGCCTGTCCCCTCCTTGCCCTCACCTCTTCTTTCTCCTTCTCCTACTGAATTGTCTCCTGCCACAACACTAGTTGCCTTGCTCTTCCTCAGACACACCAATACTCTATCTACCCCAGGGCCTTTGCACTGGCTGTTCCCTTTACCTCTACTAGTCTCCCACCCCCAGAGTGAAAACATTCTCTAGGTTTTCACTCAGATATAATTTTATTTATTTATTTATTTATTTATTTATTATTTTTTATAGCTTTATTTATGCATACAAGAACTGGCATACAGGCTAGAGGTGGGGGAGTGAGAGGATCCACCAAGACAGAGTGGGGAACAGAACAGGCAGACTGACTGAAATCCATTGCTGAGGGGAGCAGCGGGGAGACAGGAGAGGTCTGCTGTGCCATGTGGGTAGCTCTCTGGCTGCCTGGGGATCAAACTGGTGCTGCAGAGGCTGCAGATAGCTTGACAGTGCTGTGCTTAGCCCCTTGCGCCACCAGGGAGGCCCTCAGATATCATTTTAAAATGTAGTGCCTCCCACTCCATTTCCTCATTCTGTTTTATTTCTGTCTGTAGTACACACATTATCACCTAACATAAGATTTTGTTACTGATTTTGTGACCATTGTTACAAAATTTTTACAATTTTATTTGTCATCTTTACAATTATATTTGTCATCTGTCTCCCTTACTAGAATGTCTGCTTCACCAGGGCAGGGATCTTTATGTCTTGTTCCCTTCTATGTCCCTGCCTCAGGCCTCAGAGCAGAGCCAGGCACACAGCAGGTGCTCAGAATCTATTGAATGAGTAATGGTAGCCTTTGCCTCCTCGGGGCTATTTGGGAAGCCTGTCTGAGAACAGAATGGATCTGGGCATTCAGTTGGTGCTCCTTAAGGGCATTGGGCATTCATTGTCTGTTATTTATGGTCCAGGTTTTGTAGCCAGGTATACATGGGTTTAAATTTGCCATTTGGTTTCTGTGTCCTAGGGCAAGTGGTTTCCCTTCCCTGAGTCCCAGTTCCTACTGCTGCAAAGTGGAGCTAATGATGGTGGACAATTCAGGCAAAGTGTTTGGGACCATGTTGGTTAGGGCGTGTTATTCATTAGCAACCTACAATGAATCTAGGGGATGTTGTAGTGATTGCACAGCCCTGGACCAGGTGCCTTTGCCCCGAATCCTTATTCAGTTGCACCAGTAAAACCATGCACAATGCATCCAGCAAAGGGGGTCCCTGTTCTGGGATCAGGCTATGTACTCTCTCCCGGTTCTGCAACTGCTCCAAGGGGGCAGAGAGATGTTCTGAGGACTAACAGCCCCCTTAGCAGCCATGTAGCCTTGGGCCAGCAAGGGACTTCTTTGAGCCTCAACTTCCTTATCTGTAAAAGGGGAAAACAGTCGTTCCAATGTCGTAACATCATGGGGAAGAAGGAGTTCATCTAAGGTGAGTAGCATGGGCACAGCATGGTGTTTGGTTTGGTAGGTGTTAGCTTTTGTTATGATGAGCTGATGGGGGCTAAGCCACAAATTAGATGGAAAAAGCCCCTGCTTCCTGCTAGCTTATATTCTGGGAGAGAAAGAAACATTAGAAGAACAACCCCCAAGAGACCTAACTACATACATTGCTATGAGCCCATGAAGAAAGAGATGAGGGCTCTAGGAGAGAGAGAGTATCAGGGAGCAAAGTATCCCTTGGAGGTGCTTCTGAGGAAGGCAGAGTTGGGATGGGCTTGGGGAAGGGTGGATGAAAGGATGGGCCAGGAGGAAGGCACAGTAAAGGTGTGGGGGGCAGATGTGAGAAACAGCAAGGAGGTTGGGGGGTGACTGGGGCCTAGTGAGTGAAAGAGAGCTGGGGAGGTGAAAGGGGAGGGGTGAGTAGAGATGCAGAGTTTAAACAGGGCAGAATGGTGTTCTGTGGGTGAGTTGAAAGACACATTTACTGGGAGGGATCGTAGGAGGAAATAACATATACTGGGCTGTGTATAGCAGTAGGTTAAGGTCTTTCTGTTTAACCCCTCCCCCTCCCATTGCTGAAGTCCTGTAATTCCTCCCCCTCTGCCAGCCCTCAGCTTTAGTGGTGGCAACAGCTTCCTGGTGGTGCCAATCCCCATGCCACTTTGTCATCCTCTGCTGTTTGGGAGAATCAGCCCTTCCCTGTATTTTTTTTTTTTTATAGAGGCATGTTTTTTTTTTTTTTTATTTATTTGTTTGTTTGTGCATGCACTGGGCACAGTCAGAAGCGCGGGAGGGTGAGAGAATTCACCAGAGCCAGGGCGGGGAGCAGAGCAGGCAGAGGGACTGAAGTACACTGCTGAGGGGAGCAGCGGGCGGCAGGAGAGGTCTGCACGCCATGTGGGACCCGGGGATAGAACCGGCGCCGCAGAGGCCGAGGGCAGCCTCGCAACCCAGTGCTCAACTGCTGCGCCACCGGGGAGGCCCAGCCCTTCCCTGTATTAGTCCTCCTTGTTGAAAGACCTAGAGTGGTTGAACTTTGATGATTTTATAGGTCAGGAAACTGAGGCCCAGAGAGGTTGTGTGACTTGCCCCAAACCACAAAGTCTTCAGAAGATGACAGAGTCAGGGTTTGAACATCTATGCTGCTCAAGGTGTGGTATAAGTGGACGGAAGTTGATTCATGCCCTTGACCTACTTGTCTCCCTGTTTCTGGCTATAGGTGCTCTCCCGGCCTGGCTGCACAGCCATTCGCCTACGTAATCACCTCTGCTTTGGCCACTGCTCCTCCATCTATGTCCCTGGCTCAGGTCCTGCTCCGCTTGTCCTCTGCAGCAGCTGTGTGCCCACTCACCAGCGCAGGGCACCGGTGGTCCTGTGGTGCTGGGCAGGTGGCCGAGCCGTCCGTCGTCGGGTGAAGACAACCACCGTGCTGGTTGAGGGGTGTCACTGCAATCTGAAGGCATGAGCTGAGCATGATTGATGGACACCCAGACACACAGATCTGGAAGAGATGGAGACAAACTCAGAAAGATACCAACCTGGACCGTGCACACTGGATTTGGGGACAGCCAGATAGGTCTCCAGTGTCCTCACACTGCTCCTGGGATATCAGGCACCGCCCCAGGCAAGGGCGTGACTACTCATAGTGGCAGTGCACACTTCCTGAGCACTCACTGTGTGCTGGGCCCTGTGCTCAACACTAGGCGCGTACTAACTTGTGCTCAGAGCAGCCTGTGTCATAGGGTTAGCATTACCCCACTACACATAAGAAGGAAAGTCACTGACTGAAGGTCACAAAGCAGTAAGTGATAGAGGTGGCATTCGAACCCCAGGCAGTGTGCCCCCCCCAACCACCTGACTGGGCCACCTCTCATAGGGAGTCAAAGACACACTCCAGCTGCAGGAGGACAGATGGCCCCACTCAGACCAGGAGACACAGGGATCACCCCATTCTGGGGAGCCCAAGAAATTCGGGCAGGGAGGCAGAGGCAGCTGTTGGGGGAAACTTGGACTCCCCAAGTCAGGACCCACTTGCTCCTTGCTGCCCCTTCTGCCCCAGGTCTCACATCCCCTGTGCTCCATGGCATTCCACAGAAACCATAAAGGTTGGCCAAGTCCCAATGTCTGTATTTGTTCCTCCCACTGGGGTTCCCCAGGAGTGGGTAGCCCCGAGTTGAGGTGTGAGCAGTGGGGATGCTTCCTTCTCAGCTGGGCACAGGGTCTGTGGTGGGTGAGGGCAGCCTGGCTTTGGGCGGCTGGAACTAGGGCCCTAGCAGATGGGCCCGTCTGGCACAGAGGCAAGGACATGTGGTGCTGTCAGGGTTGCTTCCAAATGCCCCTGGAGTGTGTGTGGGGCAGCCGGGCCCCCCTCAGCCCTCTTCCTGCCTCAGGAAGGAAGGCCCCAGGTGAGGGGAGCAGGAGGAAGGGAACTGAGGAAACAGATGGGCCAGTGGGCTGTGGGAGCCCGTGACCTCTGACCCCACAGGCCTGCACAGAGGGGTGGGAACACGCAGGTCAGGCAGCTCCCAAGGCCTGGCTCCAAGGCCCTGGAGGGGAGGGTCATGAGGGAACCATGGGGGGCACACTCTCCCTCCTCCTTCCAGGGTTCTGTGCCAAACCCCAGCAGCTTCTGAGTGGGCAGCTCAGCCCTGGCATCTCGGGCACCCCCTCTCTGGCAGGCATGAGGAGCCTGCTTCCCCCTCCTTCAGCTGTGCCCACCTCCTGCCAGCCAGGGAACCAGCTGGGAACCTTGGTACCAGGGGGCCCCTGGAGTCCCTGCCCCCTCCCGGGCAGTGCCAGCCGGCCCCCACTCCCAACCCCCAGGCCTGGTAATGGGTGGGTAATGAGTGCTGGGGGAGCGGGGGAGGGGTGGGAGATGCAGGTGCCACAGGCGCTGGCACGGGGGCCGCTAATCAGGTTTGCCAACGCCATCTGTCACCGCGCGAGCATCTGGGGCTCAAGGTGACCCTGTCACCCTCAGTTACAATTATGAGTTTGGCATCTGTATTAAAGACCGCCAGCCGGCCAGGCAGGGGAGGGTTAGGGTGGGCATGGGGGTGTTCAGTGAGCCCCTTCCCAGGGGTCCCATTCCCAGGGGCTGCATGACTGCCAAGGCGTGGGGCTTCTCTGCTTGCTCTGAGAGTGTGTGTGTGTGTGTGTGTGTGTGTGTGTGTGTGGACACACACATGCATGCCTGTGCCAGCCGCCACAGTTCTGCAAGTGTGTCTGGGAACAGGACTGGGAGTGGGTTTTTTTGTGTCTCAGTGAAGTGGCTGTGTGTCTGATCTTGGTGGGATGACTGGGGGCAGGGGAAGCTCTGAGCCAAGTGGGTGAATAAGTTGTGCGTGTGTGTGTACATACATAGGGGTAGCAACCAGCAGAGATGCTGTTTCTCCTGTCCCTCCCTTCTCCAGCCCCCCACTACCTGGACCCTAAAACTAGAGGGCTTGGGTATGGCTGGCGGCTGGCTCTTAAGAGGTTTGGCTTCTGGGTTTTGGGTCCTTGAGCTCTAGGTCATTTTCTATAGTCTGGGAAATAAGATCTAGTTTTGGATTCTGGGTATGGGTTCTTAGTTCTGGATTCCGGGCCCTTGGACCTGGATTTTATTTATTTATTTATTTATTTATTTAAGATTTATTTATTTATACAAGAACCGGAGTACAGGCCAGATGCGCGGAAGGGTGAGAGGATTCACCAGAGACAGAGCAGGGAACAGAACAGGCAAACTGATAAAATACATTGCTGAGGGGAGCAGCGGGTGAAACAGGAGAGATCTGCCACGCCATGTGGGATTCTCACCGGCTGGCTGGGATCGAACCCGCGCTGCAGAGGCTGCGGACAGCTTCAGAGTGTGGCGCTCAACCACCTGTGCCACCAGGGAGGCCCTGTATTTTATTTATTTTTTAATATTTATTTGTGCATGTAAGAGCTGGGGTACAGGCCAGAGGCACTGGGGGTGAGAAGATTCACCAGAGACAAAGTGGGGAACAGAATAGGCAGACTGACTGAAATACACTGCTGAGGGGAGCGGTGGGCGAGTCAGGAGAGGTCTGCTGCGCCATGTGGATTGCTCCCTGGCAGGGGATTGAACTCCTGCTGCAGTGGCTGCAGATAGCTTCAGAGGTTACGTCTTAACCCTTGCGCCGCCAGGGAGGCCCTGGACCTGGATTTTAAATTCTAGGATCTGAATTCTTGGATCTGGATTCTATATCTTGATGGGTGGGAATCTAGATTTGGATTTTGGATTCTGGGATCTGCATTGCAGACTCTGGGTTCTCGCTTCCAGACCCTTAGCTCTGTATGGGCTTTGTATGTTCTCACTGCTCTTCTGTTCAGGTTTGCCACTGGGTCACTAGGCGGCCGGCCATCCCACCTGATGGGTGCAGATACCATATATAGCCACCAGAGGACACCCTTGGTCCAGGTTTGGACCAAGCTGACCCAGACAGGAGTTAGGGAACTACTCTGGCCTGGCTTGACCCAGCCCCTGAGAAAGATGGAGGTGGGGCCCTCCCTTCCCCCCCATCTCTGTTGTCCTGTCAAACAAGGAGAACTGGACTCAGTGCTCCCAATTTGGGTTGGGGGGAGGGAGAGTGTGGAGTTGCTGGGGGGTGGATAGGGTGCCTGGTTAGAAGGTACTTGCACATCTATGAAGGTATCAATGTGTAGGGAAATTTGTGTATAGGCAAGGGTGCACTGTGTGTCTGGAGTGCCACATGATGGTGTTCCTGTGGACTATGAGCTCCTTTGGCGGTATGTGGCCATGTGTGACCGCATAGCCCATAGCTCATGTGATGATGTCCTCTGGTATAGGAATAGGAGAGTCCCTGTCACATACATGTGACATCTGACAGTGACCATGACTGTGTCATTGGATGTCTGTGGGTGTATCCACAGGTGTCACTGTATCAAGGAGGATGTCATAGAGAATCTGGGAAGAGTACCCAGGGACTGAGTCCCCGTTTGGATGGTGTCCTCAGAGAGTGTGAGAAGATGTGCAAGAGGAGCATTTTGGGACTTCTGAGAGTGCCAGATGGGGGGCATGTTGTTTAAAGAGGAATGGAGAAGAGACATAGTGGTAGGACCAGAGACACAAGGAGCATTCCTGTCACCCCCTCCCTTGGTCTCTCTGATCCTCCATCTCACTGGGTGTCTCTGTGGCAGGTTACCTTCTGCCAGAGTCTCTCCCCCTCCTCGTCCCTCTCCCTCTGCCTGTCCTTCCTCGTTTATTCCTCCCCAGCTTGAAGGTCTCTCATTTCTGTCTCGCCCCATCGCTTTCTCTGTCTTTACTCCTCCTTCCTCTGTCTCTTTTCCCTTCTGTATCTCATTTCTACCGCTCCATCTCTTCCAGGCGAGTGTCCCAGCCCTAAATCTTTTCTATCTTTCCCCCTATCTCTCTCCCCCCATATCCATCCCTCTCAACTCTCTCCATGTCTCTCTGGTTTTCCCAGGGTCTCCTGAAATCTCTGATCTTTCTGTCTCCGTATTTTTGTTTCTTCCTATCTTTGTCTCTCTTCACCCTCTGGTCTCCCTGTTTCTCCGTCTTTCAATCTCTCCCCACGTCTGTCAGTCTTTCCCGGAGTCACTCCCCCCACCCCATTACTCCTGTTTCTCTCTCGCTTTGTTTCTCCACCTCGGTGTCTCCTCAGCGGTCTCCCGGTCTCTGCCGGCTGGGGTGTGTCCGGGTGGGTCCGGGACAGTCGGGCCAGGGCGCAGCAACCAAACAATGCCCCATTCACGCGGCCCTCCGGCACCATGGCAACGCGCCCGCCCCGCCCTCCCCGCGTGCCAGGAGGATGCCATGGTTACGTCAGGCGCGTGCCCGCCCCGCGCGCCGCCGCCCACGCTCTTGAAGGGCCTCGCCAGCAGGGGGCGCCCCACTGTAACCTCGGTCCGCAGTCCGCAGGGGCCATCTACCCGCACCTGATTCAGCCGCTCAGTGCCTCAGTTTCCCATTCTGTAAAGCGTCAGGAGCAGATAGAGTGAGATTGTTTTACATTTGTGTGTGTTTGTGTGCACGTGTGTGAAAGAGAAAAAGAGCTCTTTGGGGGTGGTTGTGTGTGAGTTTGCATGGCAAGGCAGTGGGACTATATATATGAATTTGTGTGTCACTGTTTGCACACTTATGTAAGTAGATGTTGTAGTTTGGGGGGTGACTGCCCTTGCGTTTGAAAATTGAATTGTGTTTATGCCTGTGTGTGATGGTATCTGTAAAAGTTCAGGTGTAATGGTGTGTCTGCATGTTTGGTGGTTTATATGTGCCCTGTGTTTGCATGCCTAGGGTGTGTGTATGTATGGTGAGTATCTGTGATTTGAGTGTGATTGTGAGCGCATATGACTCTGTGTGTCCATGTTTGCATGCCTGAGATGGGTGTGTGTGTGTGAGAGAGAGAAAGATGTAGGGGAGAGAAAGAGAGAGAATTGTCTGTAGTTTGGGGGTGATTATACATTTGTGCTTGTGGGTTCAATGATTGTGTGTGTGCCTGTGTTTGTATAACTGGTGTGTGTGTGTGATAGTGTATGATTGTGTCATTGGGTGTGATTTTAAGTTTGTGTGATTCTTGTGTATGTGTGGATCCCTGTGTGCTTGTGTTAACTGGGTATG